GAGAGTTGCTCCGGGAATGAGGCAGGCGAGGCTTATGATGGATGGGCCCGCCCTTCCTCGGACCAGGGAGCTGCTTAGACTGACCAGGAGGGAGTGTAGAGCACTAACAGGGGCCTACACAGGACATTGCAGGCTTAGGAGGCATCTCTGCTTGCTAGGCATTGGAGACGACCCGGAGTGTAGGTGGTGCATGGAAGGGGAGGAGACCCCGTATCATCTGCTCACCGAGTGCCCTGCCTTGACATGGGCAAGATTGGGAGTCTTCGGAACGGCCCTGATCGATCCGGACTCAGTGCACGGTATTGGGCTAAAGGAGTTGCTGACCTTCTACAGGAGGGGCGGCATTCTGGACGCCCTCTAGAGCGGCCTGGGGGCACAACGGGCCCATCTGGTGGCCTAAGTACTTGGACGCCCACGAGGGCGCCCCCCTTTAATACCAATACCAATACCAATACCAATGACACATTTAATAAAAGTAGGCTTTTGTAAGATCTTTCAGGGAAAGTAATAATATATCCGGTGTGCCATTTATTTTCACATATCTTTTATGTTATCTTCGAATAGCGCTAATATTAAAAATAATGGCTCCATAGTAATTTTTCTTGCAAGTGTTAAAACTAGTATTTTTTTAGAAAAAATTAAATATTGTATATAATATACAGGGTGTCTCACGACATGACTGCTATAGCATGGCAGTGTATTGCTGGGGTGATTTCAAGTTAGAAATGAATATATACTCGGAATGCTATTTGAACTGAACTATAAGCATTTGAAATTTTAATGACCATTTGTCAGTTGAATTCAAAATACGTGTAAATAGTATTACAGTATCCTATTGAAGTTTCTTTGAAAAAAAATTAAATCAGTGTTTTATTTAAACACATTTTATCATTTTACAGGAATTACTACATAATGAAATGCTGCGGTGGTCATGAACACAAGACAACATCAGGAAGATATTCTTACAGACAGATCCTAGCGTCAATTTAAAATCCTACGTCGTCTATGCAACGCAACCTGAAATTACTGCTTCTTTCCTAACAGAATCCGTGAAAAAGTCTGTCATCCCTCATAACTCTAAAATTCCTGGTCTCTAGGGACTCCGTAAGATTCACAATTGATGCTTCTATTTTAAGATACTTTACTGATATTTTCGTACTTAATTCCTTTCATTTCATTCAACAATTAAAAACCATTACATTTTTGGCTGAATTAGATACAACTCTTAGTGGTGACCAAAAAAATTCTTTGGTATTTAACGGCATTCTCAAAGAAATTGAGAATGATTTGTTACTGCAAGCTTGAAGTTTGTCATGAATAAATTATTTTCCAATGTTCCGCAACTGCGTATGCGATAATATTAACTTGTAAGAAATCGACCATAGGCTTTGTATTGTCATCTACTTATTTTTCTTCATCTACGGTTCATACTTGATGGCAAAACCAAATAGTTGTCAAATTCGTATTGATCGACAATAGATAAGTATTATGTTACAATACAACTGTGTTTCCTGATTTCGAAAGTACGGTAACTCCGCTACGTCTCTTGACTTAAATCCTTATGTTGACGACATAAAACTCGACGGTTTATTTCAATTTTAGGATAAAGTTTCGGAGAAACAAACCCAGTTGCTCTTATAGCATAATTTCGAATTGTGCTAGTTTGTGGGCCATTGTTATATATCGTTAGAGTCTAGCATCTTTGAATAACAATTTAATTGTTCAAAACAAATTAAACAATTAAACTAGTCTTCCAAAGATTGTAGATAAATTTTTGCATAACGTTTAGCCATTTTCATTCAAACAGCAAAGTTCTTTGAAAACGAAATTCCACGCAAAACAATCCAGCACATCTTGCTCGAAAAAATTCCACGTATCTACCACCAAGTTAAATTTTTAACAGCAATTTTCATCTGATAAAGGCAAATGTATAAAACTAAGTCGACTTAATTATTGCGTTTTAACTAAGTGCACGGCTAATTGAGTTGTTATATTGGCGTTTGGTACTTCCTAAATGAAATTGTTTTAAATATTTAATATATTTATTTTTTAAAACTCCATGTTTAAGTTATGTGATACATTTGATGACGACACGGTATTGTCGAAAATTGTCATGTGAAAATATATAATTTCGTGAAAATCTGAACTTTTAGTTCTTATTTATTTTATTAAATGGATTTTCATCAAGTAAAAGTAACCTCAGTTCAATTACCACAAAACACTTTTTGCACTAATTCTACAAATCTACATTATGGGGTGCTTGACCCATTACTGTACACATTGATGTGCCCAGTTTAAGATGTGCCAATCTGGCAAAACTTTATGCGTTTGCTGATGAAACAAGGGCAGCGCCAAAATTTCCCGCCCTGAATCTGAAAGAAACAAAGTAGAGTAACAATGTTTTCTTCTTTTTCAATATAATCCCCCCTAACTTCAATACACTTGTTACATCTCTTTATTAACAACTCAATCCCTTTAAAAGAATATTCTTTTGGTTGGCCTGCATAATGAGCTAAAAGAGCTTCTTTTAACTCAACTTCGTCGTTAAACCGCCGTCCACGTATGTCCTTTTTCAAATATCCAAACAAATAATAGTCGCTGGGGCCATATCTGAACTATAGAGAGGGTGATCTATCTGTTGGAACCCACACTCTAAAATGGCAGCTTGTGCAACACCAGCAGTATGGACAGGTGCATTATCGTACAAAAGACGCACGCCTCTGGTCAGTTTTCCTCGACGTTTTACACGTATGCAGTCTCGCAATTTATGTAATAATGTTGCGTAATAATAAAACCATTGACAGTGGTATTAGTTTCTTTAAAATCTATCAAAAGAATTCCTTCACAATCCCAAAAGATCGTGGCCATCACATTTTTTGTTGTCTGGCACACTCTGAATTTTCTTGGAGGTGCTTCACTCTTACGACGCCACTCCATTGATTCTTTTTTCGATAGGGGGTGATAATAGAGAACCATAGTTTTATCTCCCGTCACAATAGTTTCTATTATAGGCTTCGGTTCCGACCCACAGAGTACCAAAAGAGACCGCGCACACTCAACATGCAGGATTCGACGAACACTTGTATCAGAAAGCTTAGCAATTTCTGAAATTTCCTTGACATTTAAACGTCGATCACTCATTAAAACCTCTTCCACAATCGCAACAACATCTTCCGTTATGACCTCCACTGGTCGACCAGTTCTTGAATCATCTTCAAGGGACTCCTGCCCCATTCGAAAACGTTTTGAACATTCTTTCACTACAGAATACGAAGGAGAACTTTGGCCGTACACACCATCTAGCCTTTCCTTAATAATTTTAGGTGCTTCTTTTGTCAAAAACTTTATGACTGTTCTATACTCAATTTGCGTTATTTGCGACATTTTTCGGACACGTCTTGTTTAAAATGCTGTCAATAAAAAACTATTTGACGCAAGACTTCATTTTTTTTTTCGCAGCCTACTAAGATATATATTTAAAAGAAGACAAAGTTTTATCGTGATACTTTAGCTGCATCTATGTCAGGCCGGGAAATTTTGGCGCTAACCTCGTACATACGAGCGAACCAGAATTCGGAACTCTACGAAACTCTATAATAAGTGGCTAATTAACAACTAATTAAATATAAATATTGACAAAAGTAAGTACATATAGATTTACAAGAAGCAGCGTTTTTAGAATAGCTTAGTTGTGTTATGGGCAAGTCAGTTAACTGAAAAAAACACACGTCGATAAAATAAAACTTAAAGAGGTGATTCCTTGTTTAAAATAAAGGGTAGTTTTGGTTAGTTAGTTTGGTTGGTATATAAGTTTAATAATTTCCTTATTTCATGTTTTATTTAAAAACATTTTTTCGTAAAATTTACACTTTATAAATAAAAAAATTAAATGTAAAGCATTGCATCTCGAAAAAAAATAGAAAAAATAATTTAATTGGGTGCTATCAAACAGTTAGTTGTATTTGTATTAGTATTATAAAAACACATTTTCCGCATAACATTTTTTTATGGTTGGAGAGGATTAAATCATTAATCATCTAAACTGACACAAAAAAAATATTTTTATTTTATATTTTATTAGCAATTTTTTTTTGTCAGCAACAATAAAATTTAAACGCATAAATGCATAACAAGTTAAAAAACATTTATTAGATAAATCAAATCTAGTGGGCTGCTATCATTTCTTAAGGTGTTATTGCTTTATTTGACATTGCTCAATCAGTGTGAATACAAAATACGATTAATTTACTCAGAAATTGATTATCTAATTATTTAATTGTTCAATAATGGTGAATTACACTAATGCAGAAATGGCAGATATGCATTTGATCTACGGGCGTGCAAGCGGAAAATCCCAGTAAGCATAAATTATATCGCATTTTCAATACTTAGCATAAAAATTGTATTTCTGTTTTAGTTTTAGAAATATTTATTAATGGATTATTTTATAGTGTAATTGTTTACAATATAGTTGATAAATACCACTATTTAACAGCACCCAGCTAAATCATTTTTCTAAAAAAAATTTTTTGACGTGCAATGCTTTACACTTTATTTTTTTATTTATGAACTGTAAGTTTTATGAAAAAATTGCAATAGACAAAAAAATATTTACATGTTATATCAATCCACACTCACGCCTACCACATAAACAAGGACTGTATCATCAGCAAACGCATAATATGTACAGCAATGGGTCAAGCACATAAAATTTAACAAATTGGCATATTTTTAGGTGTTATTCTCAAGAAGCTTCCTTTAAAAGCCGCAGTATACAACTTAAAAAGCCTTTTTTAAATCTGCAAATATTGCGCTTGCAATATCATTTCACTCCAAAGCTTTTAAGATGTAATTTAGTAAATAAAATTTCGCTAATGACACCACATACACGAGAGCATCATTTTCTTTAAGTTTCAATGCATATATTTTCTTAAATGTGATATTCAATATAAGTCCCCGTGGAAACAATTCTGAATCGTAACTTAACCAACATTACTTGCCTATCAAAAGTCCGTCCATGTCAAATATGCAATGGGTTACTTTGTTGAAAATCATCTCGAATTTTGTTTTTAGTGACACAACTTCGCGCGACGCTTTACCGAAACTGAATCGACGCGAATTTTTAAGTAAAGCTTTTATAAGTCAATGACTAATACGCCGACTTCATTGATTAGCCGTTCCTGAAAATCAGCTGTGATGGGGATTGCGCCATAGAAATTTTCGCGGCATGCGTGCTCCGATGCTACGAAGGTGATAATATACGGGTTGTCCCAATTTGTTCTACATTGCACTACCCTACATTTATATAACAACAAAATATATAAAAAATATAATATAATAATATAATAAAAAGGCAGTTGTAAGCGAGCAAGTGTAACTTCAAATTCTCCTTTGGTGATACATTCTTCTAATGTACTACAATAAACTCATATTCATATTGTTTGTATTTATTATTTATCAAATGTCTTAATAGTATGATAAAAAAACTTTGGGATTTCCTCCTTTTTTTAACACATACGTTCGTATAATTTTATTTATGATTCGTTAGAATTCGTCCATGACGCAAATGCGAGACGGGTCCACAAAAACACACTTTTGGACATTTAAGCATCTGCGTGAAGACCATCGATAACAATGAAATACGTAAACATTGGCTAATTCGATTGTATTTTCCAATTAAACGTTTTTTTATGTGAGAGACAAATTCTGTAACTGAGAGCTTCGTCATAAGACCGGGCAAGCAATTCCAACAACACAAATGAATGAAAATCAACCGTTCTTCTAAAATAGTATAGTATGCAACAAGTGTGGTAAATGGTATTTGATTCACGAGTTTAATGAACGAGTGACTTATAAAGTTTACCGAACGTGTTGCATACTATACTTTTTCTACGGCCGTTAGTTTTTGGGTACATTTTCGTAAAACAACACGAATACATTCACTGACATGACCGTCCAAATTGACAAACGTCAAAATATAAATAATAATAAATTTAAATATATCCGTGCGGTAAAATCCCGGAAATGTCCGAAGTGGCTCGGATCCGTGGGAAACGAAACTGACGTGGTAAAATGGCGCTTCCCGCACGCTAGATCGGTGTGTAATTCGGTATTTTACAGACGAGAGTAAAACAACAAAATTATGCACTCTTACTTATTACTACACTTATAATATAATAATGAACACAAGAGTTTTGAACTTTGTGTATAGCATAAGCTGTGTAAGTAGTTAGTGATCTCCCATAAATAATATCCGCATAATTAAACAAAAATAAGACTTTCGCACAATAGTATATAATGCAACAAGTACGGTAAACGGCATTTGAGTTTATTTGACACGAGCGGAGCGCAGCGGAGTTAGTGTTTAATAAACAAGTGACTTAAAAATTTTACCAAACGTGTTGCATACTATATATACTACAATATATACTATTTCTACGACCGTTAGTTTTTGGGTACATTTTTACAAAGCAATACGAATACCTTTACTGACATGACCGTCAAAATTAACAACGAAAACATCCGATTGCTCCCAAATCCGCGGGGTAAAATCCCGGAAATTTCCGAAGTGACTTGGAGCCGTGGGACAAGCATCCTGCAAGCTAGATCGGTGTATAATTAAGTATTTTACAGCAGGGAGTAGAAATGTTTTTAATAATATTTAGGTTTGGCGGGTAAACCTTTTTTAAAATCATTAAAATTTTTTAGACGCATATAAGCAATTTCCAGTTCGTTATTAATATGTCATTGAAAAGCACGAAGGTGTATCAAAAATTACTCCTAAATTCTCAGCCTCGACATCAATGGGATCGATTCATTATTTATAGGACGCTCAAAACTCTTATTATTATTAAATAGAAGAACACAAGACTTAGAGGCATTGAGTTTGAGGTTATGGTAACCTATGACGCGTCGATCACCGAGTAACCCATTTGGTAATTTCAAGTGACCACTTTAGTTCCGAAAATAAAGTAACAGATATACAAACATTTTTTTCTTTTTCCCAAAAATTTTTTGTCGCAAAAATATGAACGTACCAAATTTGAATCCAGTATAACAAAATATCAGTTAAAGTCTTACCTCCACCTGACTGAATCTGGAATCGCCCGATAGTATGCGACCTAGTGACCTAGTGAAAAAAATATTATTATTTAAAAAATTACCATAAACCAACAAAAAGCAAAAAAGAGATTATTTCAAGATGTGTGGACAGAAAAGTATGGGTGTATCGAAAATGGTGACAAATTAATATCTACTTTATAGATAGATAGATATAATTATCGCCAGGACTTATAATATTGAGCGACACTTTTCTTCAAAATACGTGGGTGAAATGGCAAATGAAGTTAGAATACATTGTTAAACGTGTATAAAATTTTGGAACATAAATAAATTCATGAAGATTTTTATTACCAGCAACAATCACGCTACGGCCGCCCGCTTTGTTTCAGCTCTTAGCATTGGTAACAACGGAAACGCATTCATAAATTGTTCCGAACAGAACAGTCCAGCGTCGCGTTGAAGATGTAGCCAAGAATATTGATGAACAGGAGTAGTTATTAACTATAATATAGGCTTCCCCCACTCTTCTCCCTTTTGTGGGCGTGTCCTCCTTACCCACGACTCTCTAGCTCCTCCGCCTTTACCCATAATCCCTTGAAACTGGCTCCCATTGGATAAGCAAGCACCAATGGGGTTTAATCAATCTCCCCACCTCTAGTTTGCGATGGCGGCGAAGCCAATCAGAGCCCAGATATTTTCCCACCCCTAAGAAAAGCAATGGCGTCAATGAGACTTGATCATATTGTTCGCGTGACCATCTGCACCATCTAGCGGTTCGAATGTAAACTAGTGTCCCCTCTTGGAATAAGATTTTCTTTAATAAGGTAACCCCACCTAGTGAATATTGACCAAAACATTTATTTTAAAAACATATAATTCTGCGAATGTGTACCCTCGCGGGTACAAACTGTACTTTTATTGCGCACAAAGGACAGGGGAAATAAAGACGAAAAGTATTGGATTTCTTTTCTCGGAACTGGAAGCTGGCAGGCACCACCAATAATATCTGCAAAACAAAAGTTGGTTAAAATTTTCATTAATAAAGTAGGATATTAGAAACCATATACCTTTTTAATTTACTAAGCCATCTACCGTGCGTTAACTTCATACATATTTCCGCATGCTTCTGTTTTAAGGTATCGTGAGATATTTGACTATTTATCTGGGAAAAGTTCATATGTCGAAAATATTATGTGTATGTGGCCGTGGTAGGCTTTCTTTGCTATTATAATTTTATTTTTATTATTTAATATTTACAAAATTAATTTATCTATCTTATTGATGATTTTGATTTTCTTTGCTATTTTTATTATTTGTTTTTATTATTTAATATTTTCAAAATTAATTTATCTATCTTATTGATGATTTTAAGATATCGCAGTCAACTTTACTATTTCATCAATTTCTTTTATTTATTGCTGATCTTTGAGGATAGTGTACATACTTTTTTTCGTAACTTATCTGTATCTACCCTTTAATTTCCTATCCAGCCATAAAGCAAACTCGAAAGGCATCTGGCATCTCAACTAAAAAGTCATATACTTTAAAGCTGCTGCGACTACTACATGAAAGTGTGTTTCTATGCAATCTCAACAATAATGAAATCTGGGCGCTTATATTAAATACTGTAATACTCTTCTCTACTAACGCTCTAGGAGACGCTATTTGAACCCTGTTCAAAGAAAAACTTCTACAGCCCAAATAACCTCTCTGAACCACACTTAAGCGCATCACTCTTTCACTGTCTTGCAGCCTTCAGATTAATATTCCGTACTAACTACGAATGCCATACACGAAACGTTCTCTTTTCTAATTTTTTTCTATGCGCTACATTAACGAACAGGATCTAAACTTTTCTGTCTGTGTATTTTGTTAGCCACCTTAAAAAAATTAAGAAAAGGTATGCGTACCTAGAGGATATTTTCCATATTTTTCACAAATGGTGACAACAATTAATGCAAGTATTATTTTTAATAATAATCCATCTTTCGCTATGACACGAAAACATCGATTTTTTAATTCTAACTTTTCTCATAGAGCTTCCCTTTAGTCTCTATCTGTTCTTTAACTAAATCCCCGCCTTTTTGAAAAACCAACCTCTAAAAATAGTTAATTTTCTCTAATTTAAATTTGTACGTTTTACGCAATATGTGTGAATATTTTTGCTAGAGCATTTAGTTACTTAGTACATGTCCTAATCAATATTTTAAAAATATGATTCTAATGATACGTGTTTACGATTTGAAGATAACGAAACATTCCCCAGTTTTATAAATGAGAGCTCACCGCCAATCTACCAAACATCACAGTACAAGCTACCGTACTACGCCCCCCTGGACAAAATCAGGTTAGTCAGCGTCATTAATTCTACCTGCGTTAACGAATAGCGTATTGTTAATTAAGGTTTAATACGCAGAAAGTTTAAGTAACAAATAATTGCAATGAAACTCACTAACATCATAAATTATTTTAAAAAAATTAGAACAGTTGGAATTTACTGGAGTAACCAATTTGGCACTAAAAATGGAAATTTTCGATACTCTACTTGGTGCCTACAATAAATTTTACTATTATTTTTAATGCAGAGACACAACGATTTTCTAGTTCTGAATTTGATCAGGGGTATATGACCATAGTTTACGCCGACTCTAAAAGGCATGCAGTCTATTGTTTTTGAACGCCCCATTTTGTGTATTATGTTCAAAACAGAGACTCTCTGGGCTTACAACTACAGCTACCAGCTACTACTTTCAATAATATTAACACAAAAAAAGTAGGTGGCATTTCTATAATACGTGCAAAGTTTATGTGAAACTGACTGGAAGACAGAGTAATGCACCAATATGTTACTAAACATATTTCGATAGAATTCCGTAAGAGCTTACCTCCAAGTTTCCTCATTTAGTCAGTCAAAGCATCAAATGGGAAATTCCAATCCAACATATGTAGTGGTGGAAATATATTAATCGGCTACGTTACCGATGGTACCCGACTGAAGCTTCTGCGTCTTCTTTACCCCACATGCCTACTTAAAAAGATACTGGTCTAAGTCTCAATATTCCTGTTAAAAAAAAGAGAGGTTCTATATTGCCATAAATATGTGTTTTCAAAATTTTACCTG